ATCATCACCCCCTAAAAGACTAGAAAAGAGACCCCAAGTTGAAGGTAGGGCAGAGTCAGAGCGCAACAGTGGGCTTGGTTATGACAGTTGTTAGTCTCTGAGACTGAACACTGAACCTGGCCCATTATTGTAGGGAAGAAGAGAAGGGCTGGAGGTGTGGCTAGTTTGGATGGACAGTCAATGTGCTAAGGAATGGAGAGGTAAGGGGTAAAGCTCTCTGCTGCAATGGCTGGCTTGAATATCCCTTTTTTAAAAAACAGTTCTATTGGAGCATAATTTACATAGAGAAAAATTCTGTGTTTAAGTGTGCAGTTCTGTGACTTTTTATCAAGCTTATATAGTCGTGTAACCATCAGTATAATCAAGACCCAGAACATATCCATCACTGCAGAAAGTCCCCTTGAGGTCCTTAGCCAATTCTCTCTCACATCTCAGGCTCAGGTAACCAGACTGGTTTTCTGGCCTTTTAGTTTTGACTCTTCAAGAATTTCTGTACACCCTGATTGCAGTGATGGTTCCACGGAGGCATGCGTATGTCCAATCCCATAAATTGTATGCCTTAAGTATATGTACTTTTCTGTCCATTTTACCTTGACAAAGCTATTTTTAAAAAGATGTGTGATGGCCGCTATTAGTTTATCAATACAAAATAGTCACTCATCACAAATATGAAAACAATCACTTGCATCCTGTATCCCGTAGGCTTCCAAATGAAGTTAATTTGGTTGGATGTTGTTGAAAGAAGGAAGGGAACAAATTTGTGACTTGAGAAAAAAGTTATATAAATGGAATCATACAGTAGGGACATGTGAGTCTCTGATTTCTTTTGCTTAGCAAATATTTTAAGATTAATCTGTTTGTTTGAATGGCTCAGTAGACAGTTCCACCTTAGCACCGAGATGATTCCATTACACTGACGGAGCAGACACTCCGGGGCATGGGTGCTGAGGCTGTTTCTAGTTTTCAATGATCATGAATCAAACTGCTATAAACATTACACACAGGATTTTGTCCATTTCTCTGCAGTCTTACCTAGGAGTAGCAACACTGAAATGTTTGGGCTAAATATATGTTTGACTTTATAAGGAAAAGGGGCTGGGAATGTAGCTCAGTGGTAGACCACTTGCTTACCTAGCGTGTACGAGGCCCTGGTTCCATCCCCGGCATTGAGAGAGAGAGAGAGAGAGAGAGAGAGAGAGAGAGAGAGAGAGGGAGAGAGGGAGAGAGAGAAACTGGAAAACTGTTTTCAAAACTGACTACCGTTTTCTGTTCCCTCCACCAATGGCTGAGGCTTTCAACTGCTCTGTACCCTTCCCAGCTTGTCTGTATCAGTTTGTTTGTTGTTTCTCTATTCTAATAGGTGTGCTGCGGTTTTTCACTGTGGCTTCAATTTATATTTCCCTGATGACTAAGGATTTCGAACATCTGCTCCTGTGCTTATCTGCCACCCATACCTCTGATTCAGTGCAATGTCTATTTAGTTCTTTTGCCCATTTTAAAAATTAGGTTATTTTCTTATTATTGGAATGTGAGAATTCTTTACATATTCTGGACACAAGTCAGGTATTCTGTACATGTTTTCTCTTAGTCTGTGACATGTCATTTTTAAAAACAGAATCCTTCAAAGAGAAGTCATTTTTAATTTTGGTAAAGTTCAATGTATCCATTTCTTTTTCTGATGGCATATATACTTATATACCATCTGACTTTTTAGTAGAACACTCCCAAATATAAATTGGGCACATCAACTACAGATCACACTTCCTTGACTCCCCTGCAGCTGGGCGGGGGGGGGGTCATCACATGACTATGCTCAGACCAATGGGATGTGAGCAGAAGTGATAATGTACACCTCTCCAGTCATCTCAAATTAAAGGAAATCCCCCTGCCCTGCACTTCCCTCCCCAACCCCTTTTCCATGGCTTGGGACACAAAGGTGGCAGCAACCCAAGTTCAACCACAGCAATTAGGGTCATACCCTGTTATGGTCTGTGTTTAGATGTCCCCCCAAAGAGGTGAGATTTTCTTTTTCAGAAGTACTTGAATCTGGAATGTGTGATGCTAGGATTAAGGGTGTGTGAGTACTAAACCACTGCATGTGAGTGATTAGTATAGCATCGCCCAATCCTGTTAGTCTGAATAAGATAAAAGGGGCAGAAAGATGCTGTTACCCTCTTGTTACCTTTGCTGCTTTGTGCACGCCATGTTGTTTCTCCTCTGCAATGCTTGTTTGCCATCCCAGTCTTGGAGCCAGTCGACTATGGACTGAAACCTCTATGAACTGTACGCCAAATAAACCCCTTTCCTTTTAACTTTGGGTGTTGGGTATTTTGTCTCAGCAATGAGAGAAAAGTAACTAACCCAGAAAAATTGGTACCAGAGAAGCAGGGTCGTTGCTATGACATTACCTGCCCATGTGGCTCAAAAGCCTTTGGAACTGGCTTGTGGGAAGGGGAAGAGAAAGATTAGGAGATGTTTGCTACAGAAGCAGCACTGGAATGCCTTAGGCTGTTCTGTATGGGAGATTCTGGTCAGAGCTCAGAAGACCAGAAAGCCAGTAAAGACCAGACTCAGGTTTCTGCTGGGAAGAAGGACTGCATTGGCTGTTGGACTCCAGATGATGTGTGTTATAGCTTGACAGAAAGTTTGTCTGCATTTTGTTTCTGTCCAGAGACTGCCTGAAAGCAAGATTAGAGGCAGGGAGACACTGTTAACTTTCTCTTGTTACCCTTACTACCTTATGTGTGCCATGTTGTTTCTCCTCTGTGATGCCTGTTTGCCATCCCAGCCTCGGAGCCAGCTCATTATGGACTGAAACTTCTACAAACTGTAAGCTAAATAATCCCCTTCCCCTTTGGATGTCAGGTATTTTGTCCCAGCAATGAGAGAAAAGTAACTAACACACCCTAAGCATGGTGACCAACAAAACGGAAGAAAATAGAGCTCTAAAATGACTCCCAGGGAGGGCTGCCCTCCTCCCTGGACCACCACACAAACGAAGGAGACACCAATGTCTATCTTATGTAGGTACCTTAGACTTTACCCTAACAAATACATTCATCTTTCTTAGGAAAATAATCCCGATTTCTCTGGACCCAGGATGATGTTGTGTAGTGCATTTATAAAGACAATTGTGCAGTAGTTTCCCATAGCACAAAAATTATTCAGTGTAGTTGATTTAGCCCCAAAGTAATTGAAGGGCAGCAGAACAAATTTTTAAAATGGACAAGCCTTGCCCCAACCTGAGGCCAGAGAGTAAAGCTCTCTCTGCCCAGAGCAGTGAAGAGCAATACATCAATTTTTTCTCCTTTCACCTAAAGTGGCATGGATGTGGTACAGAGAGCAAAAGGGCCGGAGAGGGCCTAAAGAGGGAATAAGGGAGGACATAACAGTGACCTAGAGTGGCTAAGGTCTGGACACTGGCCTGAAACATGGAGAATGTGGCTAAATAAAAATAGCTCAGGCAGACATTTGCTTCCTACCATGGACCCTGTCCTTGACCTATAGCTCAGCTCCTTGAACTGAAATATAGGTGAAAAGAGAGGAGATATGCAACTCTAGATCACATTTCCACCACTCCTACAATGGGAACTTTCATCAAAATTAAGGTTTTATAACCAAGTAAGTTTTCATTTCATAGTCACCTGATTTTGTGTCCTAGGCTTCATGCTCCTGTACTAACACTCCCTGGCCAGGCACAGGGTGAGCACTAATGAACATCAGTCTGTCTGATCCTCACAGTCATACACTTTCATACTCTTAAAGACAAGAAAAACGAGGCCCAGAGAAGTTGCATGGTGCAGTGATTCCTTCAACATCCATTCACATGGCCATCTGTGTCTTCCGGTGTCTTCCCTCTGTGTCTAAATTTTCCTCTTCTATATGGACATCAGTCACTGGATAAGAGTCCACTAAGTCCTCCTCCTATCTCCATTCCATTTGCAGAGACTTCTTCCAAATTAAGTCATGCAGTGGGTAGGACTTGCTCACATCTTTGGGGGGCAAAATTCAACCCCAACATCAGTCAATAAATTTCCCTTGAGCTTAACCACTTCAGCGTTGGTCTTTGGTCATTTGCACCAACAAAGACGCAGAGCCAAGATTCACTCCCAGGTCTCTTACTATCTTCAGAGTCAAGGTCAACAACTGAGACTTAAAGCTGGGTCTTCGCCTTGACTGACCACAGGGATGAACTCTGCTGAATATCTACCCTAAAAGGTAGTGGATGACTACGGGCCACGGCTTAGGGGTAACTGTCTTTATTGGCCTCATAGCTGCTCCATACAACATACTCAAGGAAAATGAGACTGATTGTTCTCTAATTAATCAAAATTCAAATAATGCAAATGAATTAGGCATAGTGTGTCACAGGATGGCAGGCTGAGAATGACCATGACTTTTATCTTGGAAATATAAACATTGACTGTGTGGCCACGTGTGGGATTCTCCAGTTTGGAAAGGTGGTGATAAACACACACACACACAAACACACACACACACACACACACACACAGACATTTCCTGTCCAGGACAGAACACCAGCCATGCGTCTTTCACATGTATGGCCAAGTTTACTTCAGGGCCTGAGAGAAGGCTGTAATGCAGCTTGATATAGTAAAAGTATGAAAATAAAACTAATCTCTGTAGGATCATTTTGAATGAAAACTGCATCCTAGAGACAAGCCAAAGAAGCAAACTGACTGACAGAGAGCACAAGGCTCTGGGCAGGAAGAGCAATGGGGGGAGAAGCCAGGCAGGAGGTAGAAACCAGGACTTCTGCAGAAATAAACAGGAGCTCATCACAGAGCCCATTCCGCAAAGAGCAGACGTGCAGCCATGTCCTCCCCAGGTCCTTCCTCTGTATAAACCACCACCCCCAACTACGCTCTTCCTTGAATCCTACCTGCCTGCGTGCCAGACCCAGTCCACACCCATGGAACCCACGGGCCAAACAAGTGGGCAGGGGTTCCCCTGTGGCAGAGCTTTTGAGAAAAACATACCTGGGCCCTCATCCCCAGACACAGTACATGTAGATGTATTCGCTCCTATGGCTTCCATAACAAATCACCACAAGTTGGGGAATTAAAAAACAAACTCATTCTCCCACAGTTCTGGAGGTGAGAAGTCTCAGGAGGGCTGGTTTCTTCTGAAGGCTCTGGCAGAGAATCTGCTCCATGCTCCTTCCAGCTTCTAGTTGGCACTCCTGGGCTTGTGGATGCACACTGCAACTTCCACCTGCTGTCTTCACATCAGACTTCTGTGTCTTCCCATAGCCTTCTCCTGGGGTCTCTGTCCCAGATCTCTCTCCTTTCTCTTATAAGAACAATGGCTGCAAACCCCAGTAGGGCCCATCCTATCCAGGATGACCTTACTGTATGATCCTTAACTTGATTGTATCTGTAAACACCTCATTTCCAAATAAAGTCACCTATCCAGCTACTAAGGGTTAAGACTTGGCCTACGGGGAGTTAGGGCACACAACTCAATACAATTCAGTAGACTTGGAGAAAGACCCAGAATTTCACAATTTTAGCAAGCACCCCAAATGACTTGGATGCAGGTGATCTGTATGCCAGACTCTAGGAGAACTGATCTAACTACTAGGGATTCAAAGATAAATAAAACATGGTCCCCTGGCTTGGGGAACCCACTGTATCCACTGTATCTAGTGGAAGATACAGACAGATGAACCTATGACTAAAATATAAAGCAGTACCTAGGGATTCCAAGTAAAGTCTGAGTCAGACAGACCAGGGTTCAAATCCTGCCTCCCACACTTATAAGCTGTGTGGTCTAAGCAAGTTCTCAGCCAATCTAAGCTAAGTTCCCTTATCTATATGAGAAACAATTCCTACCCCTGTCATTATAAGAATGAAGCTCAAACAGCTAAAAAAAAAAATGATTAGCTCCTTCATGTGAAATGCTGAACCTGAGGATGCATTCAGAAGTAACCAAAAATTATCATTCAGGTGGAAAAAAAGTTGAATTCATTTTCATGTTCCCCACAGCACCTGGCTGGGGTCTTCCACATTCTAGTTCTTTAGTAAATGCCTGTGGAATGCAAGATGGCACTCCTCTAGAATTCAGCTGGGAGGGGTGTGACAACTCCTGAAAGACCCAATTTAAGATCCACTGACTTAACAAGCTGTGTACTGCCCTCAGTGTGCTGGCACTGGAAATAAAGAACCAAACCAAACACACAGCCCAGTCAGGAGACCAATCCTCACCCTACAGTATGGTCAGCGCAAGGTGGGCATGAGCCTGGAGGGGAGAGGCACACTCGAGGGACAGTCTCTCCTGTTAGCACTTGATGGCATCCTATCTTTTAGTACCTTCTTATGACAATGTGACTGTCCTCCCAAACTACACCATTAAGCCCCAGGAGTTCACTGAGGGCAGGAGGGGTGGTCTGGCTTGTTGACCACCGAATTCTAAGCACCTAACTACGTCGCTGACCTCAGTAGGCAATTGTCACATCTTGTTGGAGCAGTGGACATCCCGCTGCTGTTTTGGAGCCCAACACTGGGCCTTGATGGAAGAACTTCCACTCTCCCTAACCGCGGCTCAGAGACAAGATGCCCCAAGACCTGCCCCTTCATATGAAGCCTGGTCATTGAAGGAGATGGGGCTGGGCTGCAATACAATGTGTCCTAACACTGTAGGTCAGGAGAGCTCCCAGGACTGAACACACTAAGCTAGAGCAGAAGCCATAACATCTTATTCTCTTTAGAAATACACTGCCCTGCACACGCTGGACATTCAGTGGCCAGGTAACACGGGAACTGTCAGCGCAGATGGGAGTAGCACAGGGCGGCTCACCTGAAAAAGGGGTGCCCAGCCAGCACCCTCCCACCTGGAGAAGCCAGAAGCCTCTCCCGGGCCTACAAACTCTTAGGGTGGGTGGAGAGGAAATGGCATAGACTGAAGGTAGACCCCTGGGGTACGTTTAAGGCAAAATCGGTAAAGAATGCACAATGTTCTTCGGAGCACTTCTGCGCTTCTGGCTTCTTTGCTGAAAGGCCACACACCTAGCAGGCCCGCAGCAAACACGAGTTGGTTGAACAGACTAAGGAAGGAATGAACAGCTGTGAGGACCCGGAACGCCCTCACCCAGACCCAGCAAGTCTTTCCACCTGGCCCAGGTGTGGCCCCAGGGCCCGGATTTCCCCCTTGGCCCCACTTTCCCTTTCAGCATCAGGCGTCCAATCGCTTGCCTCGAAAACAGCGGCGACCAGGCCGGCAGGTGGGGCTTGGCTGCTTCTCCTCCCGGATCCCCAAACTGCGCGCTCCAATCCAGGGCCAACCCTGCCCAGGGGAAAGGCCCCTCCCCAAAACCTGGCACCAGATGGCGCGGGAGAGGGGCGCCCGCGCGGACCCGAAATTGAGTGAGGAACGGCGCAGCGCGCAGGTGGTGCGGAGCAGCGCGCGGCGCCCACGGAGGGGCTGTCCCCGCGCGTCCCCGCCCGGCTCGGCCTCGTCGGGGCGCGCGGGCCTGGGGGTGCAGGGGCTCGGTCGGCCAATCCCACTGGGCGCCGCCTCGGCCTCACCTCGCTCACCAGCCCCTGCCAGTCGTTCTCGGTGCGATCGCCGTTCATGGCCTCTTCGTGCTGCAGGCTCACGGACGCCTTCCCTTCCTCCTCCTCCTCCTCCGCCGCCGCCGCCGCCGCCGCCGCCGCCTGGCCCCGCGCGGCCCCGAGAGCGCCGGGCGCCTCCTGTGGCCGCCGAGCTGCTGGCTCCACGTCAGCCGCCGCCGCGGGAGGAAGGGGAGGAGGAGCCGCAGCCAGGCCGCAGACACAGCCCCAGGACCCCGGCGACATCCGGGCCCTGCAATCACAGCCCTCCAGGGCAAGAGGGAAGCCTGGGGCCAGGTCTGTGTCCCCCGCTAGGAACCCAGTCCCCAAATGCAGCCTCCCCCTGTCCATCCTCACGATGCCACCACTAGACTGTAAGCTCCCCCAGGGCAGGAAGATTGGAACCATCCCATCACATAGGAGGTGTTCTACAACCATTGGTTGAACACACTAATGAACGAACCACGTGTTTCTATATACTTGACATTGTTTTTAAAGCTACTAACCTAACATTTGCATATTTTTTAAGTACCTGCTGCCATAAAAAAATGTAAAATTTGAAATTAAAACTTTAACTTCAGTTTTTAAATTCCGAATTCATTATTAAATTCTGAAGAGGGCTAAAATCTCACAGGGTGGTGCTTTAATAGGAGGGGTTCAAGGCTCTAGCATCAGAGAGATGAGACTTTCTCCTGAGACAAAAGAGAATTACAGAGGGGTATCCAACAAGGTGGTCGTCCAGGACCCCTGAACCCTACCTGAGTCACCACCAATAGTTAACCTTCTGTGCTTGCTTGTAAGCATTCTTTCTGATTTTTAGTCCCTGTTGATCCTGACAGGGCCTTGTGAGATGGATATTATTCTTCATTTAGCAGATAAGGAAACAGCCCTGAATAGTGGAGAAACAGAGACTCAACTAGAACCCAGCCCCACCCCAGCATTTTAGAAACTTGAAGTCTCACCTGGGAGTTGGAGATTATAAACTATCTTTGGCTTTGTTTTATTGGCATGGCAGATTTCAAGACAATGGCAATAATTGCCCTTCCTTGTCCCTACCCTTGTCTCTTAACTCTGACTCTGGGCTCAGTCATGTGATTTGCTTTGGCCAAACAATGTTTGAAAATGTGTGACAAGAAACCGTTTTAAAGCCCTTGGAGGGCAGAGCTCATTTTTCTTACTGCTCCTGGGAAGCTGTGATCACCACCATGGAAATAACCCCAGCATAGCTGGCTGGGTGGTGACATATGATTTCCAGACAATAGCCAACCAGCTACCAGGTACATGAGTGTGACCACCAACCTCCAGCTGAGCACAAGTGCATGGATAAACCCAACTGCCCAGCAGAAGAACTACCCTGCTGAGCCTTGCCCGATTTGTTGACTCAAGGGATCAAGTAGTAAATAGTTGTTTAAGCCACTGGATTTTGAGGCACATTGATACTCTGGTATAGATGGTGACACTAACGGTGAAGGGCCTGGAGAGCCTGAGCTCTCCCTGGCAGTCTTAAGGGAAGCAACTGGCCGTCCCATCAGAACCCACTGGGTCCTCATCCAAGCAAGGAAGCTTCTGCAGCAGGCTCTGGCAGGCCAGGGGCTATGAGAAGGAGCCTACTAGTCAGCACATGGATTTTGTGTCTGGTATAATACTGCACTCATGCTGGAAAAGTTCAAGAACATTGCAGCCTATGGTCCCTGTCTTGGAGGTTTGCAAACTCCTGCTCTAGAGAACAGAACAGAAAAGAAGAGGTAGAAAGAAGCTAAATGTCCTGGTCTTCTGACCATTCTGGAACACCTAACTCATTCTCTTTCCAGTCCAAGGAAGTGGAAAGAAGGTCATCCCTGAGCAGAATGTCTCGAGTTAATTAACTCAGCACTAAACACTTGCTCCTCACAGCCTGTCTCTACCTAAAAAGCAAGGTGTTGTCTGCGGATACACTGCCACCTGCCAAACCATCTGGTTTCATTCTAACCTGTCGATGAAATAGACTAAAGAGAATGTGCACAACTTGCTCCATCTGCCTCCCAGGGCTACCTTGTGTGCACCAAGCTCTCTGCTGGCCTTCAGGAGGGAAAACCCATCCCAGTTGCCCCTGTAGCTGAGCGTTTCAGGCCTGCTGCTGGTTGGGAGCCACGCTTAGTATTCCAGGCAACAAGACCAACAGTGAGCTGGGAACCAAGGAACCCTCACTCTAGAAACCATGGGCTTTTTGGACAACTCTCTCTATGACTCCCTTTCCCCCATTTGCTTCCCTTCCATGATATAAGTCAGATACTTATTAAACTCTTTAAAAATGAAATTGGGGAAGAGATCAAAGGGTGGCAGGCCTCTACCCTGCCCGGCATGCTCATCAACTTTCCAAGCAATTGAGACAGTTTCCTAAGCTGCCTGGGTTTTCTTTAGAGGTTTCAGGCCTCAAATGCCAGATTGAACCTGCTCAGCTTGTGAGATGTGATGAAATCACAGACCAAAGCGGTGTAGCCACAAGTGATTCTTTTTTATCTCTGTTCATTTATGTAGCCTGACATAGAGTAATAATAATAATTAAATCCAGTTTAAGCTTTTAGGCACCTAGACCAGGAGGCCTCTGGATACCTCATCAGCAACAGCCCTGGCTGAGAAAAACAAAGCTAATTATGAGTTTAGCTGTTTTCAAAGAAAACAATAAAACCACTCACTGACTAGCTCATCCTCAAATAAAGCAGTACATTAAATGTTCCAGCTGACACCCATATACACGAGACCAAGGGCCCTGTCTTAAATTCATCACCCTGGACAGAGTACTGTAATGTTGGCTTTAGCCTCTATTTTCGCATCCCCTTAAGATTTCTGAAGATTCATCTCTTGGGATGCAATTTTTCCATATACATTCATAGCCCTGGGGCCACTTTTATTGGTTTATTTATATGCACTAGCATGTTAGAGAAAAGTGCTTAGATGCTTTTAAGTGATACTTCTCACTTTTAAAAGTTTGAGAGATTTTTAGATCCGGAAACTCCAAAATAGTTTCATTCGAAAGAAACTGAACCAGCACATATTGATGAAAACAAACCCTCTGGAGGACTGGGAAAGAAAAGATGACTTGAATGTACTGTTAGAAACTTAAGACTCTCATAGATCCTCTACTGACTTGCAAGATC